AACAACAAACTTTCTGATTTAACTAATTTTTCAGCAACACGAACCACATTAAAAACTCATGTGCTACTAAAAGGTAATCAGTTGCTGGTCTGCTTGTAACGCTCGTCGTAATGCTCATAAGAACTGTTGATATTAAGTAATGTAAATAAATTATGGTGAATATGTATCTTTCCAATAGTGACAATGCACAATTGCGAAGCACTGTCTAATGAAAAAAATCATTGTCCAGTTGTTCAGGTTTTTTTTTTATTTGCATGAAAACGTCAAATTTGGTCAAATAAGTTTCTACCCCAAAATGACTTAATAGTTCCATTTGTTTTCATTAAAACAATGTGCTTTTGAAATGATAAAAAAATGCTTTTTAAATTTGGCAGTCCGAAGCACTGGATTTACCTTAAAAAAAACTTTAAAATCTTAAAGTCAAGGATGTATGAAAACGTGAATACACGAGGAGCTATTTGAGGCCAAAAATAAAATTAGAATTGTTTGATGTTGCCTACCTACCCAACTTAAAAGCAGCCTACCTGAATCATGTAACTTATGTTGTTGACCTAAAAATAGAATAAAAATAAAATCCCTTCCTCCCTCCCTACCTCCCTACCTATAAGGGTGGCGTCACCAAAAGGGACTAAACCTGTATTACTATTTATGCAATGCAGATCCATGAATCTCTATTTAATATTTAGTTTACTACTCAGGCGTCTTTCCAAATGGATACCTTAATTTTTAAAATACGGGAAATGATTAACATAAAACATTATGAAGACAGTGGAACGATTGATTGAGGACTGTTTTACTGTCAAGAATGGCTGCCTTGCACTACAAAAACTTTTCGTTATATTATATCAGTAAGTATAACAAACAATATAATGTGTTGATCAGACAACATTGTTCAGTAGTAACAGGAAGGTGTAAAATAATCCTAGCTTCCTTTTCAATACGATGTGAAACACTGATGTGGGAAATGTTAATTTGATGGAATAGTTTACCTTCTACCATATAAAGAAAAGAAGATGTGGTATGATTGCCAATGAGACAACTCTCCACCAGTGACAAAATGATGTAGAAGACTAGCAACTATAGGTCACCGTACGGCCTTCAACATAGAGCAAAACCCATACCGCATAGCAAGATATATATCAAAGGCTCCGAAATGACAAATGTAAAAATTTCGAACGAGAAAACTAATTTCTGTTTTTTTAGAATCCTAAAAACATTTATTTTATAAAAGCAAATGGGATATTTTTTGACAACTTATCATATTAATTTTTATTCATTTGATTTCTCATGTTCTTTACATTTGCTGGATTTTTCAAAGTTCAGTACTAACACATTTCAGTGACAAGTTGACATACACATGTTTACCCGACTTAATTACTTATTACATGATATTTATGTACACTATATCATCATGTCTGTAAACCTGCCCCAGTCTTAATAATTATTTGTTTATATAAAAAAAATGGTATTATTATTGTTATTAATAAGGGATTCAGTGACCATAACGATTAGAACAGTATGTATGATTTTTCCCTGACATAGAAGTGTTAACTCATCAATTAAAAATGTCATAATACATTTGATAAAGACAAAAATATGTTACCCATGCGTTTGATATTACTTTCTTTAATATTTAGTGCGGTTTACTGGTTTCTTTGAAAAGGAGTCGACGTAAGTTTTATTACTGAATGGCGGAAATAAATTATTTTTGAAGAAGATTTTTACGTAATGTATGATATATAAAGATACTTACAAATTTTGCCTTTATACGAGTTGTCCAAAAAGGTTGACAATATCATACATTAGTTATTTCCAACAGTAAACACTTCCTTGTGTGAAATGATTCATTCGACCATGTCAGATAGGTAAATATACATATACATACGGAAATGTTACTCGATGAACGCTGTCACAAAATCCCTAAACTATAAATAAAACATTTTCGAGGAAACCCTGTACGAGTGTATGAGTGAAATGTGATACAGCACTGTAGATAACAACAGGTACATTTATAATAAAAATAAGATGTGATATTGGTCATTTTTTATATTTTATAATGGGAATAGGAAGAAAAGAACGTTTTAAAAAAAGTTAAGTAAAATAGCAGTGTTTTTTAAGGTTAAACTTAAGGTAAGTTTCAAGACATAACCATATGTACACACCACAAAATCAGCAGCGTATTTAGTATATTGTTTCTTGTGAAGATGGACCATTCACAGGTGTTGGGGGAATGGACCCCCCCCCCCCTTTTTCTAAATCCATATATATACATGTATTCTTATATTCTTTTTTTTCCACAAGCTTGTGGAAAATAAGAATATAGGGGCATTATGTACAAACTATACTGTTATTGTAAAATCGTATGGATAAGAGACACATTAAATAAGAGAAAATAAGTTAAATTATCAAGGAAAATTTACTGAAAAATATATCAAACTCTCAAAGGGCCGGGTTGCGCACAGAATGTTTCTTAATCAATGGAGAATGCTCTATACTGAATCCTTTCAAATATTTCAAATATGAAATATTAAATGCAAAAATTTCTGAAACAACTCCTTAATAGCAGGTGCAAAACTTCAATATATAGATTTCGCCGGATAGAAATCAACCTTATGCAAATGAATATCAATACATTTGAAAGGCTATAACCGTTTGAAAATTGAGTTGATATAATAACTCTACAAAACGAACCAACATTCATCTTTTATTTCATATTTCAATGTTAAAAAAAAGTCTTATGTACATGTACATGTATACGTGCACTTGCATAAGGTCGATTTCTATTCGACACAGCTCATATGTGCAATTTTCCTGTGAAGTTTCAGGGATCTGGGATGAAAAATGTAGGAGTCTATTACACAAAACTTGTAACCTCTTTCATAAACTTTGCTGAAAAAATACTAAGTTCCCAAGTCTGCAAAAATTGGAAGAAAATCTCAAACAATCAATAATAGCAGGTTCACAACATCAACATATGTGCAACCTTCTTGTGGTGAAGTTCCAGGGATCTAGGTTGAAAAATTATAGTTGATTACACAAAACTCAATTGCTTTATCCCGCCCTCCTAACATCACCATACTATAAACCAGTTTCGGACTTTGTCCAACCCGGCCAATATATATATGAAAAAAGTTATATATATATTAAATAAAAAAGAGTCCATTACCCAAGCGTTTTTGGGACCATTGAAATGTCTAGTGCTTGATACGTGTATCTCTTTATGTAGGTCTTAAGTAAAGATGAAGTTCTTATTTTAGTTGCAACAGACATCAGTCACTCCTATGTTAATGTATGAGGAAGTTATTACATAAATTATTTACACATAAGTCCACTAGATCCATATGAAAACTTCTGTGATCCACATTATTTAGTAAACTAGTACAACCGTATGAACTTCTAGTTGAAAAAAAAAAAACAGCGGATGACAAATTATGAGGACATTTTTTATTTAAAGCAGAGCTCTTCCTCACAAAAAAATAATTCGTTTCACATTAAATTCATACTAAACTAAATTAAATCATTAAGATCACAATGAATTCAGTTAAATCTTGACGGTCACGAATACTTATATATAAACAGGAGCCAGTTTGATAGTGTATACATTTACTGTTAAAATTTAGATTTCATACATACATAACACTAATGACGTATGGGGTATATACATATGGTTAAATAGACCTTTCCCGTCCGACAGTAAGACAGATGATGATTGGGATGTATAGATACACAGTCCCGTCTGATTGTATCAGGATGATGATTTGGATGTATAGATACACAGTCCCGTCTGATTGGATCAGGATGATGATTGGGATGTATAGATACACAGTCCCGTCTGATTGGATCAGGATATTGATAGATGACCGTTAACACTTCGTAGCAAATTAAATTCATATTCTGGACCAGAACATATTAAGGTGATATGAATAGGAACCCTGCTTTGTACTAGAACGACACACTGCGACGGATTTTTAACGTGTTAGTTCATGAAGAAACATTACGTTTTATGTAGCCCAGCAGCATCTGCATCAAATATCTTTTGAGTTGATACACTAATCAAGAACTTGTGTTTCCTGTCCTGATTTCCTTAGAAGATTGCTGCTTACATTGACGCTATTGAATCAATGGATCTTAATGGTAAGGCTAAAGCAGTCTTTGAAGGCCGTGCGGTGACCTATTGTTGTTAACTTCTACGTCATTTGGTCTCTGGTGGAAAGTTGTCATATTGGCAATCATACTACATCTTCTTATTCTTATATTCGAAAGCCGTAGACTCCATCATTATTTGGTTGATCGTCATGGAATAATTGAGTCAAAGATTACCATGGATATTATATGTTTTATTTTTCGTAGCCACAACTCTGTCATTTCCTTGTATATGACAACATCGAATGCGAACTACCACCGGTTTTGTACCATGAGCAACACGGGTGCTACTAGTAACCTTGGAACTGCTCTACTTTTTCGGGTCACCTGAGTTCAGCGACGGATTTTCGATGGGGAACGTGTTTTTCAAACTTAAGTTTTCTTTTTAGTTGTTCGAGGATTTTTGTTTGTTTGTTTGTTTTTCATTTTTCTTTTGGTCACGGTGTATGCTGTCTTTCATAGACTCGTATGTATTGTCCCTCTTGGCATTTTCGCCAACTTTTATGACAATAAAATTAAAACATTGAAAATGTGCTTCTAAATATAGAGCAAACCACATTGAGAGAAAGTTTAACAATGCCTGGTTTGTTTCTGTTTTAAACTCTATGATGACTGGAGAAAGTAATACAATGATTATAATACTTTTCATCAGTTCTCACCATGATAAGTTTTTTCCTAATTTATACATGCTCTAGGAAATGATTTAATAATGTCGCATTAGTGTCGTTGTCTGACATTTATTCATAAATAAGCTATAGCTCTCAAATTTCACGTCTTATCTATTGTAAAACTGTACAACTTCCGTGTTATGATATTGTTGTTCAGATATATACAATAAAATAAACTCAAATCCTTACCTCGTCCATTTTGTGTTGTTATAAATGAAACTCTATATACAGGATATATTTTAGTGATAATCCAAAAAAAATCAGAAACTATTCTGTATCAAAGTTTCAGACCGCATCATATATACAGTTTAATCTACGTCCTTTTTAGTACACTTGTAATTGTCCCTTCCGGATGAGATATAAGTGACTATTGAGTACGACATCACACATTTTCAGATGGAAAGTAGAAATACTTCACATTTAGGTGGATTTAAATATAATTTATATGAATTTGTTACATTAAATAAATCCGATTAACATAATCAGGAGTCTAAAATTCAACTTTTAACTTCCTTCTAGGCCATGTGACCAAATCTTAAGGTAGGTAAAAATGTCATTTAAACCTCTGTTTGTACCTGACGAATATCTCGGTACATAAGTTTGTTAACTTTTCAATCGACCCGATGACACACACCAGTCAAACAGATTCGAAACAATCACGTACTACAAGTTTTTACCTTGTAAACTTGTAAATGAAAACCAATTTTAAAACCATTTCGAATTCAATTAGCCCCAACTTGAAAAAAGTATGGTGATTCTAATTAGACTTTACTTTCTCCTGAAAATATCTATACCACTGGAAATAGACCAGTCTGTTTAGTTTCAACGATTTAGTCTTGGTATTGAAAGATTTAAGTTTTAAGTTTATCAGAAATGAATTCGTTTTATTAGAGTTTTTACATACACAAAATATGAAATGTCTGAAATGCTATACATATTTCATTTAAACAATAACATATTATTAAAACCTGACCAGCCTGCCTCCCGTGAATTATTTATTTAACTTAGCATACCCAAAGATAGGCGTTGGAAATGAAAACGAGAGTCAACACACGAAAGTAAACGAGATATTAAGAAAATATATATAAGTGTACCTAGTATAGGTTTGCTGACTCCGTGAACTAATCCTGAATGGAGACCACCACAGACGGTTCGGTCACAATAGTATCTGCATTCAGTGCTGAAAATGATCGAATGATCGACCTCATGTAACGCGTTAATAAAGTGAAATTTAGGTATACTGGGTTTTTACCCTTTTGTTTTATTTATGCTTACAACATCGGGTTTAAGAAGAAAGAGAGTACATTATTTTGAATCTTGACAACTAGGAATTAATTAGGTCCCGTGAAAAAATGGTCAAGTTGTTTGAGAGGAGAAGAATATTGGAAGTACTTTCCCAGAACTCCGTAAGGTCAATGCAACTACAGTTGTCAGGGCCGTAAATTATGTGGAGACATGTAGGCAGTTGCCTCCCATTGCAAGCCGACCAAAAATATAATAATCGATAATAAAAATGAATTATCATTTGAGAGTTCTTATCTTGACACCGTATGCCTGTCATGACACCGTAGAACATCTATCGTGCCCCGTGACCTCTTGAACATGCATGTCAAACCCCATTCACAAATTTTATTCATCATGCTTCCAAAAAATTGTCTATGCATTCGTCTTCACAATCCACAAAAAAACTTATCACATAGCTTTTCGAATCAGTATAACAAAACCTAACGCAGAATGAAAGCTGGACCTTTTTTCAATACTTTTCAAATGCAAAGTAGAACATTTTTTGTACCCTTTTGGTTGTACTGCCTAAATCTTGTCCTTGTCAACAGTTGTCAAGTCAGTCGTAGATTTCAAAATAATGGTGGCAATTATAGGTACAATCACGATTACCAGGTCATCAATGCGTCGAGTAAGCGTAAAAATTTAAGAAAACCTGTTATGAAAGATAAATGCCAAGTGGCCATTGAATTGAAGTTGATTCATGATCAAGGAGAATGCCTATTGAACCAGGACAAACAGTTCCTATCAACTCTTGTAGAATCTCGATAGAGATCACAAACGAATACATAAGATTGGCTGTTGAAACACTTTGAACAGGTTCATGATATAAATGATATGAACCACTATCGACAAGTCAGATAATTATTAAGGCGAAGTACACATCATTGGATGATATATCGGATTTTTACGAAATTCGGCATGCATTTAAATCTTGTTAAACTGCATTTGAATATTGAACAAATGGTACATGTTATAGATATTTCATATCTTTTGGCTAGGTTTGCGGTGTTTCTTAAATTTTACCATAGTTTTTGGTAAATCCCCCGGCAATTACCGCTCGAGACGACATATAGATTCTAGAGATACAACGAACCAGAGGTATTTATTACATGTCTCTAATAGAGTTCTACCTACAAATTTAGAGGTAAAAAGTGACGGAAAAAAATGCATTTTATTCGATTAAAATTGTGATTTCTCATAATTCCGTCAACATTATTTGTTTTAAATTATATATTATCGCTGCGAACATTTTCGGTTTAATGGTGTGAAAATATCAGGGGTCACCAGATCATTTCTGAAATCTTTTAAAATCATTTTAAAGTTTGCGTGATGTATGAAAAAATATGATGAATTACGATATTACAGCATGACATTAAGCTTATTTTGTTTTTCGACGCTTTTGTCACTTTACATACCGAGACTGTAATTGATTTTTGACTGAACTTGAAAACGAATCCGTGTAATTCTGTGGCTGGAATTTCGAGAAATTCAAGGTGTATACAATATATTTTATCAATGTTTTTTTACATTCATTCTATACCGATTTATAGATCCTTTTCATAATATTTTATTAGATATTATATCTTAAAATATACACAATTCACTTTTTAGATATTCAGACGCAGTTCAATGAGTTACAAATACATTCAAAATTTTATATAAAAAATTCTTACTTGGGTAAGAACGCTGTCCATAGAACTTGAATCTGAAAATGTGACCTTGTGAAGATTCATATCCAAGTTCGAACACTAGGTATATCATATCTCCAGATACGAGAAATTAGGAGCAAGTTAATAAGAACAAAATTATGAATTTGACACATAATGGTCATAAACTAACAATGTTCAAAATATCTTCACTAAACTTAAAAAGACAAATATTAGAATGTGAATTTGGTATAATAAATGAAATTATCAGTGATATAGAGTGCAGTTTCAATTATGACGTTTGACAGGTTTTTTTTCTGAAACCAAGTCAAAATATCTCCAGGGTGAGACAAACAAGCAAGATAAAACATAAAAAACTTCATATCATATGGGGATCTGTAAGTTCCCAAGCCCCCGCATATTCTAATGCCTCCTATTATACAAGTTCTAGTTTACGGCCCTGGTTATATATATATTTTAAATACTGTTGTATACACGATTATGTTTTGTATATTATTTGTTATCAGTATACGTGTATTTATTATATGCCACCATCACACCCCATTATATCTAAATACAATGTATACATTCCATTTCAAAACTTTGCTACTGTTGATAATCTTTACTTGATAATCTTTTTCTAGATTCTGATTTTAGAGTAATGGGCTTTACAAATACCCGCGACTACCATACAAGTTTAAAATTCTAAAATCAATCAAACATTATCTATTCAAAAGGTTGTATCAAGTAAATGACGCTCGCTCTCAGGGCAATCGACAAATTATAAACATTTGCTCTAAATATTATCCGTTTAGGAAGTACTAGTTAATTAGAAATACCACATATTTTCAGAAATATATACATACGTATAACAGCCTGAAGATACACAAGTGAATACAGAGACTGTAAAACGGAAATAAAAACGAAAGACAACACTATTTTCCCCGTAAACATTGCATTAACTAAATCGAAACAATTTATCATATGGGTAAAAGTAGTATTGTCTTAATTCAAATGTACATATTTGAACCGTAACGTCTATATCAATACTGGCTATCATATTAATTTATTCCCAACAAAACTTCTAAACCCAGGAAAATTCACATACAACAGATATATTACATTTGTTAACTGATTAATGGCATACACAGCAGAAATATCATGGCAGTTTCCATTTTTATTGTCGCTAGTTAGACACATGTTCTAGTTGTCGACTTTTTGGCTGTAACAGGTGCTCCGTGTGGTATCTCCAATCCATTCAAACAGAAAAAGTAACTAAAACAATAAGAAATACAAACATTTCAACAGAAGCAGTCATGAGTATCTGCTATATAATCCGTATACAAATGAATTACACACACATACACACATCGACGGACTAGGTTTGTCAAAAATTACAATTTTTCACATGAAATTGTAACACTAGATCATTTCAGAATTGACACTGGGTTTTATTATATAACTGTGAGAATCGATTTTTTATTTTACTCGTCTGAGATGTTTTAGAGTTTGGTTTTGTTAAACAGTCTTTTTTTCTCATTAAATGATATATATCAATCTGAAAAACATATTTCTGTCTCAATTTTGCATAAATTAATACAATTTTCCAAAATATATATAAATTATCATAAAATCATTATAAAAATAAGAAGATATGGTAATGATTGCCAATGAGACAACTCTCCACCAGAGACCAAATGACGTAGAAGTTGTTTTTTGTTCAAGAAACTTTTTTTAATAAATAATAATTTCTAATAAATCTAAAAGGACCTATTGATCTTTAAGTGCTCGTTTTATATATATATCGTTCTTTGAATTGCTCCAAGCGATCCGGGGGCCTTGGTTGACGAGTGGTCAAAGTAGTTCATCTACTGTATCACCAGCCTGTTAACACTGATGTTGTGAGTTCGAACCCTGCACGTTGCAGATCCGTTAGACTTTAATCTTAATTGACTATGATCGTCTTGAACATGCATGAAATATTTGCCGCTGGACATTAGCTTGCAACCAACAATCAATCAATAATTGACCAGTTTCCTTGCTAAGACAGGTGGTTCGCTCCGGGCTTGCCGGCTTCCTTCGTCAACAAAAACTGACAGCCACGATATTGCTAATAGTGTTGAAAGTGGCTTTAAAATACCAACAGTCAATCAATCAATATAAGCGACCTAACCTCAATTCAATGATATTCCTCCTTGAAAAAATGTTATTATAACTTATTGTGGAATGAATCATTCACATGTCCTAAATTAATTAATTATCGTGATTGTTTATTTAAATTAGACTTAGTAATACAAAGAAAATAAATTCTCTAGACCTAACTTACTTTCCTCCTATTTCTCCAGAGGTAACCTCCAATGATATAGCATTATACCGAGTTTCTCCTCCAAACATGTGAAATAAACTCTTCGGCCTTTTCACATATTTAATATAAACACTTTCTATTTCTCCAACCTCCACCGATGATATAATCATTTTGCTGTAGGTTTTGTATTTGGTAATTTCATCATCCCTACAAAGAAAAAGATGAATACACTCCTTGAAGAACACAACAACACGACATTTGTCAAGAAATAGTAGTTTTAAAAGCAAAAGAAACTTAATATTTTGGCTTCATGTTGTAAACAAAACACTATTAGCTTAATTACTCTGATGCATGACATTTGCTTCATTGACTATTGTTTTCAAGATTAAAAACAACAACATTACTTGATATATTCCAGCCATCCTGTGTTTCCAAAATTGCCTTTTATTTGGATGTTGATTGTTCCGTAAGTAGTTAGTGAACCAGATTCTAACTTAATCATGTAATGAAAACCTGGAAATAACGAAAATTTCATTACTTCATGTTGATATTATAATCTGTCAATTGTTTTATATTTTTTGCGCTGAAATGAACTCAAAGTGGCAAAAAGACGATTATAGACATGCTGTTTATCATAAGTATAACTACCCTTTAGACTCAACAATAACATTACAGGATACTAGATACAATATCATCTGAACGAATGATATCATAAGTATAAATAAATCCCCTTTAGACTCAATAATAACATTACAGGATACTAGATACAATATCATCTGAACGAATTATATTCTATTTAGTGGGTTTTGGCCATTGAACATATGTGTGCTTAATTTGATTAGACCTGTTAATCATGATGTACTACTATTTGTTTTTCAGATACTTGATGTAAGCTGTAAGGTTGTCGGAATGCGAATATATATGTTCAAACTCTTTTAGGTAATTTTTTAGTAACAACAAACAAAAGAACTATGTCAATTGGACCTGCTTTGATACTATAACTGCCCTTGAATTTTTACTAGATAACATTTTTGTTCGCTATGGAGATTCCGTATATCGTCAGGTTATCGGAATTCCCATGGGGACTAACTGTGCACCACTTATTGCGGACCTGTTTCTGTATTGTTATGAGTTATTTGAAATTAATTTATGACTAAAATCAGCAAAGACCCATCGAAACAACATCTGATTCAAAAATTTAATAACACTTTTAGATATTTAGATGACATATTGGCTCTCAATAATGACGACTTCAGTATGTACACTAAAGAGATTTATCCTGCCGAACTGACTTTAAATAAAGCTAATACTAACAATGAACACTGCACTTTCCTGGATCTTGATATCTTTATCTTTAACGGGAAGCTTAATACCAAAATTTATGATAAAAGAGATGATTTTTCATTTCCTATTGTTAATTATTCATTTTTAGATGGTGACGTTCCCTTGTCGCCATCTTATGGTGTTTATATATCTCAACTTGTTCGATTCGCTCGTGTATGTAACAACGTATTTGATTTCAACGAAAGAAATCTCTGTATTACTGAAAAATTATTACACCAGGGTTTTCGATATCACAAACTAGTCAAAACATTTACTAAATTTTATCATCGGTACAAGAACATCATTCGTAAATATAAATCAACATGCAGACATCTTATACGTTCAGGTATTTCACATCCAATATTTTATGGTAATATTCTTTACAAAGCACAAAAATGTCGGCATTCACCTCAAAAGCTAACCAAACCTTTAAACAGACTTATTCGGAAAGTATATAGTTACGATACTGTTGTCAAGTCATTAAGGATTGAATATTTTGGTATTAATATTGATTCACTCATAGGGTTTTGCATCGGAAATAAACACATTTATTCTAAAACCAGTTGTTGGCATGATACGGGTTATGTTCTTCTCATATATTTTATGATGGTATGATACTTAACCCCTAACGGGAAGGATTGTACTTGTTTTCATATGATCAAGACATAATCTTTTAATCAGTTTAATTGAGGTCTGGAGCTGGCATGTCAGTAACTGCTAGTAGTCCTTTGTTCATTTATGTATCATTGTCATTTTGCTTAGTTTCTTTTGTTACCTATTCTGACATCGGAATCGGGCTTCTTTTAAACTGAGTTTTACTGTGCGTATTGCTATGTGTTTCTTTATTCTACATTGGCTAGAGGTATAGGGGGAGGGTTGAGATCTCACAAAACATGTTTAACCCCGCCGCATTTTTGCGCCTTTCCCAAGTCAGGAGCCTCTGGACTTTGTTAGTCTAGTATGTTTTTTAATTTTAGTTAATTTATATGTTTTGGAGTTTAGTGTGACGTCCATTTTCACTGAACTAGCACACAATTTTATTTAGGGGCCAGCTCAGGACTACCTCCGGGTGCGGGATTTTCTCGCTGCATTGAAGACCCATTGATGGCCTTCGGCTGTTGTCTGCTCTTTGTTCGGGTTGTTGTCTCTTTGACATATTCCCCATTTCCATTCTCAATTTTATTTTGGTGATCTGAGATCGTGACGTTCAGACTATGTATGTTGAGACACATAAACTGTAAGGTTTTTGATGATCTGATATCGTGACGTTCAGACTGTGTATGTTGAGACATGTAAGCTGCAAGGTTTTTGGTGATCTGAGATCGTGACGTTCAGACTATGTATGTTGAGACATGTAAGCTGTAAGATTTTTTGTGATCTGAGATCGAGACGTTCAGACTATGTATGTTGAGACATGTAAGCTGTAAGATTTTTGGTGATCTGAGATCGAGACGTTCAGACTATGTATGTTGAGACATGTAAGCTGTAAGGTTTTTGGTGATCTGAATTCGTGACGTTCAGACTGTGTATGTTAAGACATGTAAGCTGTAATATAAGTTATCTACGTTCATATCGTAGATATGGATATTTTAACACCCTGAGGTATCCAAGTACACCCTGAGGCGCAGCCGAAGGGTGTACAGGGTACTGAAGGGTGTTAAAATATCCATATCTACGGATATGAACGTAGATAACGAATTTATCCCCGGTCTCAGTCTAAATCTGGCGATTTTTAGAGAAATTCGACCACAAAGTTTAACGTGAAAGCAACGTTTTTTTCATTTTTTAAATATCTTTTATTGAAATCTGGGAATTTGACATATTTTTAACGGGGTGTAGGGTACTACCTTTGGTAGAACCCTACAGGTAGACAAATATAAGACGTTTTTAAACTAGAGACAGAGAAACTTAAATGGGTCGAATTTGGCGCGCAATGTTGTGAGAGTTATATCATAAACGGTGTGACGTCAACGTGGGTCATTTGCATAGCTAGGTCAGTAGTACCATTCATTGACAATGTGGCTGCATAGTGATGCATTTGCTAAAATGAGTGCAAGTAATCGATACAATAAGATAAAATCGTTAGTGGATTACGTATTTAATTATACAGACATCATGGAAAATCTACAGAATTCGATATTTCATAAAGAACAACAATGGAACTAAGGAAAACGCGCGTGAAATTCCCCGATGTAATGGGTAGCAACGTCCGGGGATATGGGTTAGCAACACCCAGGGGCTATGGGTTTTGTAACGACGTGCGTTAACCAATCAAACTCCTAGAAATATACTAAGCCGGGGATAAGTTTTTTTGTGATTTGAGATCGTGACGTTCAGACTATGTATGTTAAGACACATAAGCTGTAAGGTTTTTGATGATCTGACATCGTGACGTTCAGACTATGTATGTTAAGACACATAAGCTGTAAGGTTTTTGATGATCTGACATCGTGACGTTCAGACTGTGTATGTTGAGACATGTAAGCTGTAAGGTTTTTGATGATCTGACATCGTGACGTTCAGACTGTGTATGTTAAGACACATAAGCTGTAAGGTTTTTGATGATCTGACATCGTGACGTTCAGACTGTGTATGTTAAGACATATAAGCTGTAAGGTTTTTGATGATCTGACATCGTGACGTTCAGACTGTATATGTTAAGACACATAAGCTGTAAGGTTTTTGATGATCTGACATCGTGACGTTCAGACTGTGTATGTTAAGACATATAAGCTGTAAGGTTTTTGATGATCTGAGATCGTGACTGTATATGTTGATACCTCTTGATGTATATTGGTTATTTGTGTCATTTACTTATAGACTGCAAGAGGGTCGTCATGGGGTACCTTCATGACGAATAACGGTAAAAAATCTTGCCAAATGACGTTAACGGTCATTTTTGGTACATGACGATAAAATGTACATTTTCTTAGTGATGATAAAAAAAATCGACTGATTTTGACGAATCACGTTAAATTCTTTCCAAAAACAACGTTAACGGATATTTATTTGAGACCTAGATGACGTATCACGATAAGGATATTCTGACGAATCACGATAAAATTTTAACCAATTTGACGCTAACGGTAGCCGAAAATTACCGTTTGACGCCTGACGGTAAAGGACATTCCTACCCTCATGCATCGCCTTTTATTCTTACACAAAAAAAATTAAGACTTTTTTTTAATCAAGAAATATATAAAAGACAATTGAATTTAAGTCATATGAATGTCCGATTCGTTATTTGGTTCAAAATAAAAATATTCTGTTCTGATGTGTATATGCGAGGTAAAACTAGTTTTGAAAATCTAACTTGACAGAAAACAAATAAAAAACAAACATGGTCACAATTGTGAACGAAAAAAAGATTTAATGAAAAAAATCGATGCACATTGCATACTTTTGAAATTGTAATCTAGCCGTGTCGATTGCTATACATCACCGCTAAGATAACAACGGTATAACAAATTTAAAACCGAAAATAAATTTCTCTATATGCGTTAGATGAAACATTTACATCAATGATTCGAACATTTTTGTACTGTTATATACTACTAACCACAAAATGGAGACTTCTCTTTCGTGTTAAGAAAGAGTTTTCCACGTGCTCGATACATATCTGCATAGTAACCAAGCTGTGAGCAGCCATTTGAACCACACGTTAGACAATTTCCAGCATTAAAAGATTCCTGAAACAAAACATTGGTGCATTATAATAACATTTTCATATGTAGAAAAATCAGATACAAACAAGTTGGTTTTTTTCAGCTTTATTTAATGGTACAATAACTCTAACGCCATAAAGTGTCCTTTTCCAATATATCAAGGACCATAACTCCTGAACGGTAAATGTGTTGAAAATCGTCAGTATCAAACTTGACCTCCATTTATCATCAGTATCAACATATTAAAATTTGAAAAGCATTGGTTGAACGGTTCATAAGTTATTGCACGGAAACTATTGACAGCCAAAAACCCCGACAAAAAAGGCTTTTCTGACAATCAGTGCATTCAAAGAATATCAAGACGGCTTTTCGAATATATCATTGCACGTGGTTTTACGTTAGTATCTTGCTTATTGAAAACTTGGACAATTGCAACATGGCTTGCCTGAACAATATTATAAAAGTGAACACAGTTTTGCTTTAAACCCATCTAAATCTTAAACAGTAATTCCTCTTAAGAGTTTGATCCGACTTGTCCGGGATCGGGTATGCAGACGGGTCTATTGAAATGTACAAAAATATGATAACTTTAAAGCACTTTCATGTACATAAACATCATTTTATTAATCCTTGCTTTTAACACAAAAAATACAGTTCCTTAAAGAAAATATTATTTCCAAACTTTTTATATAATTTCTGACATTTAATGGTTTATGGATGCATGGATGTTTTTCTGATTTTATATGAACTTATTTTTACTTATCAAACTACAATTTTGGTCGAACATTTTCATATTTCTTTTCTATAACAATGGTTAACTGGGTATAGATATATGGTCATCCCTGGACTCTTCCCGTCTGACAGTAAAACTCTTGACAATGTGGAGCTTCCGTTTAACTGAACGGGGGTGTACATCTTTAAGTATCATTAGGTAGACTATTGCAGGGCATAATTTCTCCTATTTATGCAGCACTCTCATTTTCAAGAGACAGTCCTCCCGCCCTTCATGTCTGTCGACCTACCTATTGGAGAATGTTTTTATTTGTTCTCGTCCTGAGTATGTATGAAATATTTTTAATACACAACTTGAAGCAGGAACTGCTTATCCTTACGGGGCAACCGAGTTAACGAAAAGATAAAAAACCAAATACTTCACTCCAATCAAGATTGACCAACACGAACCCCACGAAATAACCGGGATGAACTCAAGAGGTAAGAAGTTCTTGCTTCACTTCTTGAACCCGACGCGTTTGCTTTTGACGAATAAAAAACTTGTGATAAGACGTACTAATATATTACTTATACTGGTCAAAGATTTTAACTCCATTTTAAATTTGAAAGACTTTGTAGACGAAAAGAAAATGATGAAGAATTCGCGTCAATATTTGACTTATAACAATGCAGTCATGTCTTCTTGTCTTTCTTTAGCCATTCGGTCGTTGTGTTAAATCTTACAGAAGAGTTACAAGGGTATGCTGTGAATGGACATGGAGTGTTGATTGATTCTGTAAACACTTCATGAGATCGGGAATGGCTACACGAAACCGCCTCAGCAGCACCTACAAATTGTATAGAAAATAAAATGTCAAATTGTTGAGTATGTATAAATATATTTCAAATAAATTCATAAAGAACACGTTCCAGTAACATAATGTTTCTTAATTATCTGTAAGCGCTTTCTGCAAATATTAAGAAACATATATATATATATAGATATAGGAAGATGTGGTATGAGTGCCAATGAGACAACTCTCCATCCAAGTTACAATTTATAAAAGTAAACCATTATAGGTCAAGGTACGGCCTTCAACACGGAGCATTGGCTCACATCGAACAGCAAGCTATAAAGGGCCCCAAAAAATTACTAGTGTAAAACCATTCAAACGGAAAAACCAACGGTCTAATCTATATAAAAACGAGAAACGAGAAACACGTATGAACTACATAAACAGACGACAACTATTGTAATCAGATTCCTGACTTAGGACAGGTGCAAACATTTGCAGCGGGATTAAACGTTTTAATGGTACCAAACCTTCTACCTTTTCTGAAACAATAGTATAACAACACTATAAAATGTCAATTGGAAGGCTTAACTCAATCAAAAAACGTAAATTAACACACAATGAACGATTTAATTTGACCTGTGACACCTGAATGCAAATACACAGTTAATAAAAAATTACAAGGGATAAATAATTAAAGTCAAAGGTAAATAAACAGGTTTAAACAAAGTTAAAGTATGATATCACTGTGAAATTTCAAACAATTTTTTAAAAATCATAACTTTTGAAGAAACCTGCGTCATATTATACACAGGTAAATGAAAATAATTTTGTTGTTAAGTATACTTCTTCTTCTGTGTGTATAAAATCTTCCGTTTAGGAATACCAAGAAATTTCTTTGATATCAATAAAACTAATCCAACACTTGGTACATATGGGGTGAATATCAACAATAAAAATATACAATTAGTGATAGATAAAATTCCTGTACAGGTGCAAGAACAGCATCTAAGGAAAATATATATATGTGTAACTGGAATGTGTTTTTTTTCTGAATTTATTTTGAAATATACACGACTGTACCAAGGATTATTTACTACTATCATATATACTAGTATAACTTACAATCAAGAAGCAAGAACAGTTTTAACAGTGCTGTAATGTCTAGCGCTTTCATCCATCTTGGGACTTTCAAGTCTATAGAGTTTTCATAAACAACGTCGTTAAGGGAAGATATATATATATATATATAATGATTGCAAAATTAATGAGGTTGGACCTTTTATAATCAAAACATGAACACAGTCTGATTTTGAGAATAACAATTACCCAGGAATTATCAGATTGATGTAAAATATTGCTGAACTATACTTGCAGAAGAAAACCATGTTTAATCACCTCTGTCATACACGGTCTTTTAATCAAAGTCACTTAGTATAAAAGCGACCGAACCATATTTCCGATATTTTTTGATCGTTAAGAAGGTGAAGGGTTTACGTCTATTCTTAAAGTAATTCGTCTAACAAACCTTTAAATCCACCACCAAACAAACCGCTAAATGCGCCAGAAATCTGGTTTGGACAACCCGGCTGTAATTTCCCTCCGTTTACATAAAAATCTACATGTCCTGAAACCTGCATTAGACCTGCACCGCCCTGACTAAAAGGAGCTCCGTTAGTGTGAATAACATCTACAAACTGTGCGTCTGTGTCGTCTAGTCTAATCTGCATTGGATGATTTTCAAAGTCTGGTTCAGCCGCGTCCATACCTGAAAGAATACGTATACATGCATGAATTAGACACATGTTAGACATGCACATACAGAATGTGGCGGGGTTACACAAGTTTGAATTAGACATGCACATACAGAATGTGGCGGGGTTACACAAGTTTGAATTAGACATGCACATACAAAATGTGGCGGGGTTAAACACGTCTGCAGGCGCGCCAACAGTCCCCAACATAAAAATTAGCTGAAAAGGGCTTGACTCATCAGATCGATACAAGGCACAAATACAACTAACAAAAACACAAAAGACACAAAGAACAGATCTGAGAGTTACTTGCAGCTTATTATAAACCTTTGAGGATAGTTAACCGATGTCAGTTCTAACTATCATAAATTAATAAGTAAGGTACAGACACAACTACATGACAGTGAACACCGACGGAAGTGTCCGAAGGGAAATGAGGTGTGTCGAGAGGGCAACCAAATCAAGGGGTGTACAGGTAACAGTTTTACGTTTAATGTCATATATCTAAGCATGCATAAAGTCAGTTACAATGAAACAAGTGAACAGTTCTCTGCAACCATATTTTTTTTGTAACCTTGAAATATTTATCAGGCAGGTGGGACCGGTGCAAACCACAGTTGGAAAAACACATTTTTAATCCACTTCAGGCATAGGGTCTCCACTTTTTTCACCTTTGGCGACAATAGGACATGAAGATTTATTCAAACTATTGCTATCAAACAAAAAATTGTATTAACTAAATATCCAAACAAGAAACATTTGTACAATCAATAAAATAGTTTATATCATAAAAACAATGTAAACTTATATTTATTTGTTATATTTAAAAGTATAGTTTGTTTGTTAAAATATATTAAATTAAGAATACATGTTGCTAAATTTTTTTCTCTCGGTATACATGTGCTTTATAATAGGAAACACACTTAAATGATATTTATTATAGTAACTATTTGATTGGCAAATTTTATTAATGTTCAAGTATGACATATCTGCTCTTTATTTTTTGGCTTAAATCATCTTTAATATATTATCATGGAAATACATGATATTTTCATATTCATATAAATTAACTCATTTTTAACAATTTGCAGACAAAATAAACATGGACATTAAAAAGCAAGTAAATGAATCATCAAATGAACAAATTAAATGAAAAAACCTCTTTCAAGGTAAATAGGCAAAGTTGTACAACATATACATATATCTTATCTGATGTAATTTTCATACCTTATTAAACATTCCACTTTAATATTTCATAAATGTACGAACCGTTCTTGCATGATTTTACATGTATATAGCTTCATGATTAACAAATGAAATGAAATATTCATGACAAAAAAATTCAACAAAAAGAGGCAACTATAATTGGAGTACATACAAAATTCAAACTCTTCTATTCTTCAAATTTAGCATGTGTAAAAGAGTATATTTCTTTATAGGGAGCTAATATATGTTTACTTCAATTTGTATTTTTGCAAGTTTTACATCACATCTACAATAGAAACACTTTTAATTTTTAAGGTCTACTCAAAGTAAAAAAATCAAAAAATCGTGTATTCAATTTACTCTTGCGAATAAATATTGTGACCTGGAAAAAGGGGGGAAACTTATTTGGCAATAAAACTGCTACTCTATCTGATGAGCTTTCTCTCTCTCTCTCTCTCTCTCTCTCTCTCTTTATATATATAAGGGTTTGGATGGGGTGGTTCAATTGTGTATTCTTTAACTTTTTAGGTAATTTTTCTCTATTCTTTATATTTTTTGTCCATTATTCTCAATACTTTATATTTTAGCACTCCATTATTCTCTATTCTTTATTTTTTTTGCCGATTTTTCTCTATTCTTTATATTTTTGTCCATTATTCTCTAAACTTTATATTTTAACACTCCATTATTCTCTATTCTTTATATTTTTTGGCTTTAATTCTGCACTCCCCCCCCCCCCCCCCCCAATTATTCTCTATTCTGTAAACCCCATCCAGACCCTCATATGTATATATATAATCAGTAACTGCTGTGGATAGTTAGCAATTGATGGTAATCAATTATATTTTTAGTATACTAATATAAATCTACTACAGAAAAACACCAAAATAATTGAAATCAAAAGAAAACTAAAAAATAACGGGAAAAATGGAGGGCAAAAAAAAAATTTCCTGTTCCAAAGAACATGTGGTTCAGCTGTGTGTGATAAAACTTACCGGAAATACGCGAGAGTCGACCATGAAGCAGCCATCCTGTAAAACCAGCTGTATGAGCACCCAGGCTGTGTCCAATAAGATGTATGTCTGAAAATTTAGCACCAGCATGATCAACCATCATGTCTATAATCAAACGAATCTGTGTTCCCACCATTCTTGTATTAGCTACAGCTTGATCATAGTTTGGGAAAGCAGCACCAGGTCCCCATGTTACAACGACAACGTTCATATTTTCCTATGAAATTTTAGGATATAGAGGAAAAGTTAGTTTAGTGAAAAGTATATACATTTTAGGGGTTGTCGCATGTTTTTTCATGAATCTTTTTCAAGGCCAATAATGCGGGATTAATCAATGCAATGCATGTACGTGTAGTACAATATAGATAACCCAAATAATTCAGTCTTTATAGAATGAAAACTAAAAATTCAGCAATTTTTTCATTTGTAAAGGGCATAACTCGGTAAAAGTGACGCCACCAAAACTCAAACTTGATCTGTGGTGATAAGCATTGTGTATAATTTTCATGACATTTGGTTGAGGCAAACCAAAGTTAAGAGAACGGAAACCAATATCGGGACTTCCGTACGTACGGACGGACGTACCGACGGACAAAGGTAACACTTAATGCCCCCTACGCTGCGACGGCTGAGTTTTTGTGTGTAAATCGCATTACATAAATTGCTTGATAAAGGAATTAGGTATTGAAAATTCACTTGGAAACTCAACATATACCTCCACGACACTTACCAAATAGAAAATCCCGAACAAAAGGTGCGACGGGGGCATAAAAAAGCGAGTTTTTGTGTGTAAATTGCATTACATAAATTGCTTAATAAAGGAATTAGGTATTGAAAATTCACTTGGAAACTCAACATATACCTCCACGACACTTACCAAAGAGAAAATCCTGAATAATCATAGGTCTGTCCTATATTCCTTTGTAATCTAATCATAGACGAAGAACTAGAATTTCCTTCACTCTGTTGGATATCTAAGTTAGATAAGTATCCTTACAAACTATTAAAATAAATTTTATGGGCAATCAAAGCCGGGCTGCAGTACATACTCTAGGGGCGGTGTGAATCAGAAACTGAATAATTCCAAAGATCTGTTAGAGTACATACAATCTTAGTCTATTTAACTTGCAATAGTATAGAAACATTTGACTTTTCTACCCTTTACACAGGTATTTCCAATGCAAAACTTAAAGAGAGATTGAAAGAATTGGTCCAACTTTGTTTCATAAAAAAGACTGATCAACGTAGATACAAACACCTTGTTAAGGGTTGGATAAATCTTACTTCGTAAAATAAAATCATCCTGATTCAAACAAAAAATTCTCCGAAACCGACAATGTCAAGATGCTTGATGTCTTGGTTGATAACATATTTGTTATATTTCGAGGAGGTGTTTTTTCAACAAACAATCGACATTCCTATGAAAACCAACTGTGCTCTTTGCTTAATTGTTTCTTATACACATGGGACAAACTTCATACAGGAGCTTCTTTTAAAGAATGAAAAGAAACTAGCATTATCTTTTTACTTCACGTTCCTCTATAAAGATGATGATTGACAATAAGGGTTGGTTAAGAACAAAACTTTACGACGAAGGAGATGATTTCAGCTCCCAATTTTCTATACTTTCTGCATTTCTATTCCAGCAGCGACTGCATATGGAGTATATAATTCACAATTAATACAGTATTTCAGAACTTGCGTTTTCTATCTTTATTTACTAGATAGAGGGTTTCTGCTTACAAGGGAGATATTAAACCAATGATTCTAAGTGATAAAAGGTGAAGTCATCCCTTTAATAATTTTACGGACGCTATCACGAGTTGGTGGACCATAATGGAATATCTGTTTCACAGATGATGATGGGATATGTTCCAATTGTCGTAACTAGACTTATCACAAAATGTGTACTTAAATGAGCAGAACACGATGGGTGTTAAATGTGGTGCATAATCTGCTTACCCTTCCGGAGCACCTAAGATCACCCCCGTTTTTTTGGTGGGATTGATGTTGCTTAATCTTTAGTTTTCTGTTGTGTTTAGTAAACTGTTGTTAGTCTTTTTGTCGATTTAATTTTTTTGCCATGGCATTGTCAGTTTGCCTTCGATTTAGGAGTTTGAATATCCCTTTGATATCTTGCTACTATCTTGTAATTATTGCGATTTTCACATTTTAAGAATATCTGAATATATCAGCTGCATTGATATTAAAGATTTTTATATTCAATTTTAACACTAATGACTGTCACTAATCATACCATGATAAACACTCTGCGACATTGTACTCAATGACTAACATGTATTGAAATAGTGATAGTATTTTTTTTTTAACAAATCATTTTAATCTTACGTTTTGAAACGGCGTACCCAAATGTTTTATGATTTCCACTTGTAATGATTTTTAATACTACTAATTCTGCACCTACCATTTTCAAAAGTTCGTCTTTCATTTGATATATCCACGGTGTCTTAATGGTATTACTAAATCCATGAATGATAAACTTAATCTTAAGGCCGGGTTTAAATGGAGATTTGGTTATAGTACCCAAGTCTGTGAAATTTAAGAAGTAACCATTCTGTGGGTTACTATTGGTAAATATCTGCATTTGAGTTCCAACTTCTTGTGGTGACTTAGGAAGATTTAGTTTTGCATTATCGAATGGTGGAAAGTTGTCAAAACAGCCAACAAAAGGATAGCATTTCGTTTTGTTTTCGTTAATCCTTGGTGTGGTGACCGTTACTGTACTTGGTCCATGACTCTGTGTCGTTTTTTTGGTAGCTTCTAATACTGTAGTAAGACTAATCACTGAAAAAAGAACACAACCCAAGTTTTACTGAATAGCAATGTCTCAGAAAATGATAATCTTAAATATATAGCTAATGTTCTACCACTGCATTCAGCTGAACAACATTTAGAAAAAAAATGGTTTCAAATATAGCTATCGTCAGTTGAGAATTTTGAAAATACAATGTATGATCAAATATTGGCGCGTATTTTACTGAAACGCAACTGCCGTGTTATTTGATGATAATCTGTATTTACCATACCCTTACACGATGCACTAACAGTCTATTAAATTGTAATTCAAATTCTATTGAAAATGAAATGCACTTTCTTCTGGAATGTCCTCTTTACAATAACCTCAGAAGAGATATGACTGATTATATAAAAAAATACCCCAGTTTAGTTAATTTAAACAGAAATGATCTTTTTACATGGATCATGAGTAATGAAGATAGCAGTTTTTTATCTATTTTATGTTCATACCTTGATAAAGGCCTGCAACTTAGAAAATCAGAAAATTAGTTAAATAGATAGCAAAATTATCTCCCCTTGACCACTGACCCTTTCCTCATGCATTTGAACTATTATTTTATGTTTCTTTAATCACTCTGTAATGTTTATGTCATGCTGTTATTAATGTTATGCTCTTAATGGGCCCTTTAATTTGGAAAAATAAAAATATTGTATTGTATTGTATTGTATTGTATTAAATTGTAGCCTCGAAAAACTGTAAGCTATCACAAGAAATTTAAAACATGAAAACGAAGAAAACAATTAAAAAAACGCAAAGAAACCCCAAAGAAAACGAACTTAAAAACAATTGCGATATTTGGTGTTAGAAGAGTTTTCATTTTACAATTACAATACTGCTGCATGAATGAGAAATTATTGCTACCTTTTTAAGTACGTTAATCAAAAATCATAACTTCTAAAATACCTACAAAAAGGACTTTTATAAAATATATATTCATAAAAGCAAAAAATAATCATAATATGTGCTCACCAATTATCAAAAGGGAATGAAAATTGTTCATGTTCTCTCCGTCCTGTAAGTTCACAAGATGAATATCAAATATTAGAGATAAGAGAGTCCTAAATTGTCAGCAAGGCAAATATATAGAATCCGTACTGATAATGACAAATGAATGACAAACTGCATAGGAATGTAAAGTTGAGGCTCACTTGGCTCATGTATTACAAGGACGAAATCTAAGTTCCAGTCGTGTTATCTATATAAACATTTTACTTATATTGACGCGGTTTGTACAATATCCAGGCAGCTTGGCAGACGTCGGGATGACAACAAGGGAGAACCAGCTCTCATTACATTAATTTACCCGTACTAGTGTCATTCTCTAGCACAAAAGGTATCAAAAAATTACCTGTTTGCACCACCGAATTAACCCGACTGGTCTCTGGAGACATACTTAAGGAACTATCAATGATACTTAATTTTAACCAATTTCTCTAAATACAAATAATATATTCAACGGCACTGAAAAATAGAATAGTGTTATTCTGAAGGCCTCAGTGGAGATTAGTATCCTTCCTAACAGTTGTTACTCTCTTTATATAAAATAGAATCGGGGTTGTTGTTTAAAATGTTTTAGTTAGTTTTAATATATTTATAAACTTTTTGTAGACCTCTGTATTTCCAAATATGAAATTTGGAATCGTTCTAATTTGGGGGAAACGACAAGATAATTTTTTTTAGAGTTATCCCTCTTAGTGCATAATATAAAATAAATATTTTGTGTGATATATATACCTGTTGCCCAGCGGTTGTCGATCTGTTCTATTTAAGAAATAATTTCATGTCATGCTCTATGATGCCCATTTTAACACGAGCAAGCATTATATTTGTAAATATCTTAGTATATATTCATTCTTTACAACGAATGACATCGAGGTGTAAAATGTTGACAAATAGGCTCATGTCTGTGATATTTGTTTTTCGTAAAATTTAATAAGGCCATTAGTATTTTCGTTTGAATTGTTTCAGGCCCTTTTATATATGACTATAGTGCATGTTTTTTTTCTTCTCATTGTTGAAGGCCGTACCATACGGTGACTTATAAAAGCTTACATTCACGTTATTTGAACCCTGGACTGGGCTGCTAGAAACTTTTATCCACTGAACTGTTGACCAGTGAATAAAGCATGTTGAAATCAGTGTAACTTATCCAGTGGACAAGTCTTATCCATTGGTCAACTGTTTTGAGCAACTAAGTACTGGTAGATATTGATTTCATTGGCAATCATACCACATCTCCTTATTTCTATATAGACTAAAACGAAACAGTGGAAACTCGACTCCTGTTACATTAGAATCGAGTGATACTATAGGACAAATCACAAACAAAGAATTTGAGTGTACACTGGCGTAGGAGCCGGACGAGCAATATTTTGCAAAACAAAACTTTTGAACATAAAAAAAAGAAAACGAAAGTACACACTAATTAACTCGTATCAGAAAAGTTTTTTTTTCAATTGCTCATTTCAGTCCACTCCCACCGTATGGGAGCGACATCGGATATTGGTGCTAGCTGAAGCGGAGAGAGGTTATTAAATTTTGCAATCACAGGTAAGAATTCCAACTATTTATGCATTTGTAATATTTGCACGTGTCTAACGATTGAATAATAATATGCTGGCAATTCTGTTCTTCAAATCATTTAGGAATGTTAGACATCAACGTAAATAAATCTGGAGATAGAAAACTACCATAGAGAACCGGATAAACGTGGCACCGATAACTTATGATCAAGAAAAGTAGCCGGTTTAATGCTTGGTTTAAACAATATTTATTCAGATAAATCAACATTAAACGATATTATACAAATGAAATAATATTAAGGATTCAGAAACAAGCAATTTGCTTTTACAAATCTGTCTCCTTTTACAAAAAATAATACACTTATTGGACAATACATAAATATAAATACTGGCATGCTCTGTAATAAATATATCAATATGAAAAAAGGTGAAAGAAGAAGAAGAAGAAGAAGAAGAAAAAAAAATAATTAATGAGAAAAGAAAAAAAAAAAAAAAAAAAAAAATTATAAACATGAATTATTGTAATCTATACGGTGTGAAATGCTTGGGTTTCTATTGAATGATGAAGCATTAACATCAAGGGTTAAAACGTTTACTTTTAATAATATATTTCTGCACCAAACTAAATAAAAGACTATTTTGCTCATCCGAGAGTACCGTTGATCCAAAAAGCAAAGTTTTTGTGTTAACTTGGACAGGAAGAACTGAAACAGAATCTAATAGTTCATGTCTTAAATCAGTGTATATGGGACAAGATAACAGGAAGTGAGAATTTGTTTCTACATCACCACAACGACAATTTGGAGAGTCTACCAAATTACGAACGAATAGGTGAGAATTCAATGAACTTGAATCCATTCTTAAGCGAGCATGAAGAATTTGACCAAAACGATGTCCTATATAATAATACGCTGGGACCTTACAATTTTGGGTACTAATTTGTTTTTTGAATAATGATAGAGATTCACATTTTCTTATGTTTAAGTTAAGAGTGTTCCATAGTTTTGTTGTTGCTGGGATGAAATATTCAGAATATAAACGGGTCCGAGTATTGACTTGTGTAATATTATTTCTTTGTCTTGTATTATGATCATGCCTACTTCCTACTGAATCGGGCAATAAGTCTCTTAAATACTCTGGGGTTTTATTATTCAAAATTTTGTGATAATGAATTAATCTATGATTGCGTCGTCTTTCAGATAATTTTTCCCATCGAGTTTCAACATATAAATTGTTTATACTGGTAAGTTTAGTACCCCCCGTGACGATACGCGCTGCGTCAAGCTGAATATTTTCAAGTTTAGCAATCAAATTCTGATTTTGAGAGTCCCAAACGACATCGGCATATTCAAGAATTGGGCGAACAAATGATATGTAAATTTTTTCAAGTGTAAACCTATCAAGAACATTTTTCATTTTTCTCATTATATTTATTCTTTTATACGATTTAGAAACTATGTATTCAATATGGTCGTTCCAGGATCCGTTGTTAGAAAAAAAGACACCTAGATGTTTGTGTTTACTTACTGTTTGTAGCTCTTGGGTATTCATATTTAATGGAGGATGAAAGGGTCTATTTATTTTTTTTGAAATTATCATACTTTCAGTTTTTTGGGCATTAAAATTCACAAGCCATTTTTTTGACCAATTATAAATCTTATCTAGATCGTTATTTAAAATTGTAGCTGTTTCTGTTGGATTGTCAACCATAATATACAATGAAGTGTCATCTGCGAATAGCTTAATTTGAGCTTGAATGTCTTCTATTATATCGTTTATAAATATCAAAAAAAGGAGAGGGCCCAGAATGGACCCTTGTGGGACGCCTGCATTTACAGGTAACCATTCGGAACTTGAACCGTTAATAACCACCCGCTGGACTCTATTTGTAAGATAATTTTCAAACCACCTTAGTAAAGAACCCGATATGCCCGCTTGTTGAAGTTTAAATAGCAGTCCCTTATGCCAGACTCGATCAAACGCTTTACTTATATCACAGAATACTACCCTTATTTCTTTACCGCTATCTAAAGCCTTCCCAAAATCATTTGAAATGTTAATTAATTGATTAACCGCTGAATCCCCCCGTGTAAAGCCTGACTGATTTTTCGTTAAAATATTATTACGCTTAAAGTGATTGTAAACATGTTTATATACACAACGTTCCATACACTTTGAAATTACACTCAACAAGGAAATAGGTCTATAGTTTTTAACGTCATTCGGTTTACTATTTTTATAAACTGGGGTGACATTTGCTCTTTTCCATTGATCTGGAAAAGTAGACGTACTTAACGATAAGTTAAATAGCTTACATAGTGGATACTTCAAAACAGAAGATGCTTCTTTTAACAATTTGGGACTTATGAGGTCTGGGCCAGAAGCTTTTGTGGGATTAACAATTTTCAATATATCTTCAACTTCAGTAACCGTAAGTTCTATATAACTAATGTCATCACTAATAGTATGAAGTTCTTCAGGTAACATAGCACTTGAATCATCAATATTTGACTGGGAAGAAAAAAATCGATTAAATTCATTTGCCTTTTCGATTTCATCAAATATTAAGTTGTTATTAACCATTAATGGAGGTATACTTGCGTCGTTTGTTTTTAATCCGGATATTTGTTTGACCGTTTTCCACCAATTAGTAGTGGACGGGTTACTGTTCATGATTTTTTTAATTAAATTGTTGTTATAATCATCCTTTGATTTTCTTATTAAACTGGTAACTTCATTTCGTATTTTCTTAAATTTTGACCGATCCGATTGGTTATTATATTTTTTAGCCTTTCTGTGGATTCTATTTTTTTTCCTTATCATTTTTTTAACATCATTTGTTAGCCATGGAGGTTCATTTTTACGAACAATTATTATTTTATTTGGAATACATTTTTCAGCAGCTTCTATGATAGTTTTTGTTATTTCGGTTGTAAATTGTTCAACGTTATTTAAGTTTATTACGGAATCCCAATTTTTTTCAGATAAAATGTTACGATATCTGTCATAATCTCCTCGATCATATAGCCAAATTTTTCGCTTAAAAGTTTTTTGACGACATTTTGGAAAGTTCAAAAGACTAATGATAGGACAGTGAAAACGTATTTGGTCTAATAAAGGTGGTCCGACTCCACAGTATGTTATTATGTGAGCATCGTTTGTTATAAAAAGGTCTAACAATGATGACGACGATTCAGTAAAATGAGTAGGTTCGTCTATCATTTGAGTAAGACTAAATTGGCTTAACAAAGGTGTAATTTTTGAATTAACAGGGGCTAGTTGGTTATCGTTAAAATCACCAGTGGCCATTATATAATTAATAGTATTATCATTAGACGCCATATCAAGAGAATATTCAATTTTTTCCCAGATATCTGATCCACTATTAGGAGGTATATAAAAGGTTCCGAGCAAAGCCTTTTTATCTTTAAATTTAAGTTCTAACCATATTGCTTCCAAACTTTCGCTTTCGAGGTCACTTCGACGTTGAACATGTATATCATTTTTTACATAAACAATTATCCCCCCTCCAACCTTGTGTTGACCTCTGTCACGACGGAAGGGGTGCTGGTAATTTAGGATTTCAATTGATTCGTCTGTATGATTATTGTTTAACCAGGTTTCACTAAACGCTAAAATGTCGAAATCAGAATATTCAGCTTGAATCAGATCTATTTTCGGGGCTAGGCTTTGTACATTTAAGTGAAGAATTGAGACTGATTTTGAGAAAAGTTCACTGAAATCCGACATGTCAGTTGAGTTAATTGAACTTTGAGAAGAATCGATATCGTCACTTGGACCTGGATTTACCTCTATTCCTGCTAGGATTAGCAAAATTTGTATAACAAATAGTAAAAATGAAATAATAA